TTTGGAGGTGGCGGAGATGCAATACTTCTTGAGACAACTGATTTAATTAAAAACCTTAAAAATGATGAATCAGTTGCTAATTTACTGGATAATGGAGTTGAAGAGACTAACTATATGAAATACTTGACTTTTAACGATCTTGTTAAATGGGAAAAAGGTATGCGAGGAGAAATTGATCGAAAAACAGCGCTAACAACATTATATAGGCATAATGATGCAATTATTGGTCTTGTTGGCGGTAAATGTGAAAAAACAGGAACAATACAATTTCCTGCATCAAGAATATCTGTAAGTCCAAATAGCCCTGATATCGATACTCAAGAACCCTATAAACTTGCTGAAAAGAAAGCTAATATTCTTTCTTGGTCAGCAGATTATCTATCTTTTTCAGTTAATCCTCCAAATTATTATGGAATAGTTTCTTTTGAAGAAGGCGGAAGAATAATGATGGATTTCACTGATGTTGGTGAAGGTGAGATAGAATCTGGTAAAGATGTTAAAATGGTTTTCCGTGTAAAAGCTATTGATGAAGCAAGAGGCTTCACAAGATATTTTTGGAAAGCTGTACCTATTTAAACAGAATTATGATAATTAAAATTAGACAATACGGAGATTTTTATGGCCTCAGGAATTAAAGATAAAGTAGCAATTCTAGGAATGGGTTGCTCAAAATTTGGTGAAAGATGGGATGTAAGCCCGGATGATTTAATGGTTGAGGCTTATATAGAAGCTTTAGATGATGCAGGAATTGAACCAAATCAATTAGATGCAGCTTGGTTTTCTCATCATATTGATGATATTGGAGCTGGTAAAGGCGGCACCCCAATGTCTATAGCCTTAAGGCTGCCGAATATTTCTGTAACAAGAGTAGAAAATTATTGTGCATCTGGTTCTGAAGCTTTTAGAGGCGCAGTTTATGCAGTTGCTGCAGGCGCTGCTGATATTGCTATAGCACTTGGCATGGAAAAACTTAAAGATACTGGATATGGGGGTTTACCTGCGACTAACTATGGTACATTTGGACCTCAAATTGGTCCTTCAGGATCTGCTCCAGGTAATTTCGCTCAATTGGCTTCAGCTTACAGAGCAAAACACGGGGTATCTGCTGAGGATATGAAAAGAGCAATAGCTCATGTATCTGTTAAAAGTCATGCTAACGGAGCAAAAAACCCTAAAGCTCACCTTCAAAAGGAAGTTACTGAAGAACAAGTATTAAATGCACCTATGATTGCTGAACCACTTGGTTTATTTGATTGTTGTGGTGTTTCTGATGGTGCTGCTGCTGCTATCGTAACAACACCAGAAATAGCTAAAAGTTTAGGTAAAGATAATCTTATTAGCGTTAAAGCCCTTCAATTATCTGTATCCAATGGATTAGAGTCACATCACAATACTTGGGATGGATCATATTTTCATACTGTAAGGATTGCCGCGAAAAAGGCTTATGCTGAAGCTGGAATAACAAACCCAAGAGAAGAGGTATCAATGATGGAAGTACATGATTGTTTCTCTGTTACTGAGCTTGTTACAATGGAAGATCTTTTCATCTCCGAAGAAGGGCAGGCGGTAAAAGATGTTATGGATGGTTTTTATGATGCTGATGGACAAGTTCCATGTCAAATTGATGGCGGATTAAAATGTTTTGGACATCCAATTGGCGCTTCTGGTTTAAGGATGCTTTATGAGATGTATCTGCAGCTTCAAGGTAGAGCTGATAAAAGACAATTAAAAAATCCTTCAATTGGATTGACTCATAATCTTGGCGGTCAACCTGCGAATAATGTTTGCTCGGTAGCAATTATTGGATCTTTATAATTAATCCTTAGAGTATCCATCTTTTATTGCCTTAAGGTAACCTGAGTAATTAGGTGATCGATAG